TGCAAATCTGATCATAAAATTGTGTCCATACCCTGAAAGGTTCTGTCATATATGCCTGTCCTATATTTGTATTCTATATCGCCTAAACCCTTCCAATCCTCTTACTCGGCCAGGGCAATGTGTATGCATAAATTGAATATCTTGTAGCGTTTGTATTTCAGGTCTAGCGATTTGCAAAATGGACCATAATGGGTATGATTGATGAAAAAGTATTACCTACTAGGTACTAATTCGAAAACATATGCGACTTAATTTTCAACCGACTTCAAAAAAGGAGGAGGTTCTCAATTCGACCCGTATGTTTTTTTTTTTTTTTTTCTATGTTTGTTACGCGATAACTCCGCCAATTATGAACCGATTTGAACAAATCTTTTTTCGGCGTATAGGTAATACCTCAAGGGTGGTCCCATTTAAATTTAATAATAAAAAAAACAACCCCCAAGGGTGGAAAATTGGGGATGAACTTTTTTATACGCAATATCTCCGCCGATTATAAACCAATTTGAACGATTATTTTTTTGTTGAATAGGTATTATCAAAAGGGTGGTTTCATGCGAATTTGAAGAAAATATTTCACCCCCAAGGGTGGAAAATTGGGGATGAACTTTTTTATACGCAATATCTCCGCCGATTATGAACCAATTTTATTTGGTCTCAGTGTACTGCCTACCTTCAGTAGTAACATCAAGGTAATAATTAGTTAACTAAAAAGCAAGAAATAAGTAAAATTTTATAAAAAAAAATAAAACCGACTCCAAAAAACCTACACTAAAACGTAGAAAAATAATTACTAATAATTACCTACTTATTTATTAGGACGAATTATTAATATTTATGTAGGTATACCATGATTGATACTTTTGGAGTCTGAAAGAAACTTTACATGTTTCATAATCTTGGCACCGACTCCAGAAGTATCAATCATGGTATACCTACATAAATATTAATAATTCGTCCTAATAAATAAGTAGGTAATTAGTAATTATTTTTCTACGTTTTAGTGTAGGTTTTTTGGAGTCGGTTTTATTTTTTGTTGATATTGCCCATAATATAACCACATAATTATAATAATAATATAATATCATGCACAATATTTAGCTTAGGTGACGTGCCTTTTTTTATTATTTGCTATATTTGACGTTCATAAGTGCCACTTGTGGTCTAAACTGAATAAATATTTGGGAGATATATTCTTTGAGAAAATTTATTTACACTTTTTATTTTGATTTTGATTTTGCCGTCAAGGGTACAAGATACAATAAACTAAAACGATAGAGCGATCAATCCTATACCAGTACCTCTAGCAGAACAACTTTCGTCTTCGAATCGTTTGCGTACTCGATAAAATTCGATACTCAATCTTCGAATTAAACGATAACGTGACAATTTTCATTCTGAAAATAAGTTTTGTGCAACCACATCTCATACTAAGTTCACTTTACGACACGTTCACAAGGGCGCTGTTGTAGTTTTCTTACTAAATCTTTTGATGGCGTTTCGAGTACGCAAACGATTTGAACTCGAAAGTTTTTCGTGCTAGCCGTACCTACAGAGGGCCTAGTGTGAGTTTACATTAAACGCGCTCACTACTGCGATGCGACATGACATTAAATGTTGACGGATTTTACAGCGTCCCTAGCGGGAAACGTTCAAAAACTAAAATTTTCATACAGTGAGCGCGTTTGATGTAAACTCACTCACACTCAGCCCACAGACCTATACCCATGCAATCCGTTATTTATCAGTCAGTTTAAGTGATAAAAATCTTTTCATGCAAATGGTTTTTTATCACAGCTATAAATCTAGCTACTATTACATTGAACTAAATACTTTCCACTGATATTGATACCTACTAATACACGTTGTTGATAACTATTGATACAATCTACATAGTTTATTGACTCTACATTTTGTATATTTTCATGGATGTAATCCATAGGAACGAAAAATAAACACTGAAAGCAATTTAACTTTGTCAAAATACAACCGCAACTTACTTTTGTGCATTGTTAGTATAATATTCGGTTAACTTGGGGTTTATTTAATTAATGCACCAATAATAACTGCCCGTAACAATATTTACATTATAGTCTCTATCATGATCATTATAATTTTATATTAAACATGATTTTTTATTTTTTGCTTTTTTATAAATTATCAGCTCTATTTCATTTTAGTTTTCTCTCCATTCCCCTTATTACAATAAAGTAACATGATTTATGATCTCGACCAAAATTTTGTTCCTTTATTTTTATGTATCTACCTACTCTTGAACGTTGTAGTTGAAGAAAATACAAATTCTAAGTAAAGAAAGTGCTGTTCATTACGAAAATGTAAACTATCTTTCCCGGGCACAAACAAAAGCTGTAATTATGCTCTTACCAATGTATGATGTAAAATAAAACGTCATTCATAACATTAATGCACGAGTTTTCCGCCCCAGCTGTTTCAACATTACTTCCCTAGTCATACATGTTAGCAATACAAACCATAACCACAAGAGCTATTGTACAACCCTATATGTACAGTCGAAGATATAAACATGAAGATTTATGATTTTATGTGTATTATTAAGGTTAGCATAATGTAGTCAGAATAAACATACATTTCGTTTAAAGTCTTTTATGCCTGAAAAATATTTAAAGCTCTCGTGTTACTTTCCTTTTTCCGTTGTCCTAGTTTCACTCGCATTCGCATTTAGAAGCATTCGAATTTCAAATAAAAAAGCTAACTCAAAAGCTTTATAGCTACTGAAAGGTCTCTTTTCTAAAATGTTTATCGTACCTACCTTATTTATTTAAAATGCTGTTGTATTTGAACACCAGAAGAACTCAAATTCAACAACATTCACGCTGCAGTTTATCATAGGTAAAAGAGACCGAGGAGAGTTGAGACATTGTGTATTTATGGAAAGCGATTAACTATTCAGCAAGTAGCAACAGCGCGTATTTGTTGGCTCGAGACTTGAACTAAAACGCGCACTGTTACGACCTCGCTAGAGTTAATAAGTTCCAAAAAATCGTCAATATCGCACCTCGATCTCCCTTAATGTATACCTGTTGCATGTTCTAAAAAATAATACTTATTTCTGCTTGTAACTGTACAGGGTCGTAAGAGGACCTCACCTTATTCCCAGTCCTTTGTAAACACGACCCGAGCAAATATTCGCCATCTCCATTACCGACTTCTGAGGAAACTGAATAAAGTAATTCAGTAATGAGAAGTAAGGGGCCTTGTTATTTTTTATAACGTTTGATTAAGAAAGTGAAGTTGATATAAATTTTCTTATAAAATAATTTCCAACTTAGTCTGAAAGAATGCGAAATAGATATGAAAAATGAAAGCTTTTTAAGTAGAAATCTATTTAATCAAGTAGGATTAAATAGATTTCTATTTCTTTTTTATTTCGCAACAAAAAAAAACTGTATTGCGTCTAACTGTATAATTTTTTTTGTTGCGTATTTTCGTGCACTTTCTTTATAGCCATAAACGGGAAATGATGAAAAAACGCACACTACGTAACTTTCAGGAGATGAAAAGCACGCAAAAAAGCACATTATAACATAGGTATTACGATATTACACGTTGCCTTGACCACTTACCATACCCTCCGTTAACTCAAGGGCGGATCTCTCCTTTATTAAAATAGTTGTCTAACTAACTTTGCACTCTAATTAGTAAGTATATAACTACGATTGTAGTTAACAGGGGCACGTGTAATTTAAACCAATCCTTGGAGCTGCAAATGCCTCTCTTTGCCCGTGAATTATTAAAGAGGTTTTGAGCTGAAATTCAGCAGTTAAATACACAGTAAAATTGAAATGATTCAGGGTTAATAGTTAATTCTTTTAATCTTCTTAAGAATCAGACGAAGATTGATGCACTATTTACTAATTATAGGTAAGCCACATCAAAAACTAAAGAAACTAATATTTAATTAAAGTCACTATAAAAAGATTGCTAATTTGCTACTCATTTATTCAAAAACACTTGAAAGTACTTACTTGGAAGGAGGTAACTGATAACAGCTAACAACATATTTAGCGACAAGCTGAACTGAAGAATGCTAGTGTCTAAGAAAAACTACCATAAAAAGCAACAAAAGTAAAGTAAGTAAAAACTTGTTTTTAATATCTTCTTCTTCTTCTTCTACTTCTTTTAATAAGGCAACGGTCGGATGTTTTTAATATCAACAGTAATCTACAGAAATGTGCTTGTGCAATGTCAATTCAAAAACATTATCAAGCTGTTAGCTACGAGCTCACAAAATGGAAACTAGGTCAATCATGTCTTGATATATTTCCATAAACACTCACATATAAAATGTAACTGAAATTTGAATAACGTAATTTTATTGTTTGAATAGTCAGTAGCTTTGTTTTGTTAAATTACCAGTGAATGAATATTTTATGTTCACGTAATATTGAAACTGTCGTTAGGTGTAGGTTTCACAAAGAACCCTTTCTGAAAGTCTATAAATACATATAAACACGATTTACCCAAATTCGTACTAACAGAACTTTGATAAACTTGCCAATGCCAATATTGCCAATGCCAATATTGCCAATAGGTACGTAAGTATCTAAATACTTACTACACGTACTCGTAGTTCGTTAAGGACATCCGTATTATTTTCAACTAAGCACATATTAGCTACTCGTGGTGCTAGGTTTAGCGTACTCATGAGCTGCACAAACTTTACTGAATATTTTTGATCTAAGTAGGTAATTTAACAAAGACTCGTGCTCCATATTACATTATGGGCATAACAATAGCAGAGTACATTCAAATTGATGATAGCCCAGTTCATTAACCCAAATTGTTCGGATCCTAATAATTACCCGCGTCTGGAGAGGCCCGCAACCGAGCGAAACTTTTTAATTTTCCGAAGAAATCGGAAAGTTGAGATTGTTTTCCCCGATCAAAGTGTTCTGGGGGTGCGAGGGGGGTGAGATAAAACGTGGGCGGGGCCAGCCGGGATCGCAACAGGTCGCCCCCCTCCCTGGCCCCCCGTGCGATCGATAGAGATGCTGGGGCATGCGCCGTGCTCACTGCAAACAACATGCGCTGTCTCCTGCTGCTCGTGTTTTCAATCTTCACCCCAGGTATGTTACAATGCACTTTCATCATCATCATCTATCTCCCAATTCAACCTTCACCACCCACCTCATCAGTGTCCAAGAAACGCACCCGTACAACTGAATTTTCTCTCGTAGCCTTCATTAGTCTGTGTTCGCAAACGTCAAATCTTGTTGTCTATGGCTCGGAGCCCTTTTGTTATGATGCTCACCTGACTTGAAGAAAGTGTTATGTTACAAAATAATGAAGTATTTATTTTATTAACAATCATACCTCATAATATTAGGTACACGTTTCCCCAATGCGATAGAGTAGGTAGATTAATTAGTACCTATTATGTATCAATAATTAAAATTGCCGTTATCACTATAACATAGAACAAATTAATAATGTAACATTGGTGAATTTAGTCAAAGAACACCTGAATACGGCAACGGTTCTAGCTACTTCATGAAATATACCTGTTAAGTATTGGCATGTATTTAAATGATCTTTTTAAATTAGCTAAAACGGCAAATAAAAAAATCTAAATGGTCATCTATTTTAATGATTGATCCTCTTTCTTTGAGACATAAAATAAATGAAATCGATCGATATTTTAACCTCTTTTGAACTAGGCCAAAAATTTTTGAGATGTAAAAATTATCACACTGCGTTCGTTATCGGGTCGAATTGACCTCAGGTGCTGCATGCGTTGGTGCGTGATGGATATATTCGGTCTTATCAGTAGTACGAAAGATAAATATTGTTTTGCAATTGTTTCGTCAAAGACAGTAAATACTTGGAAAAAAAAACTTATCAGGTCATTACGACCCGATGTCGCACTAAAAGTAAAAAAATATCGTTTAGTGCTTTTATCGGGTCTAATCGACCCGTTGACAGATGACTATGGTCACTGATCACGGTCGAGATCGGTATACTAAGAGAAAATCAACCTTGCGATTTGAAAAAAAAATAAAGAGTTAAAAATTATGATGTCATGTTCAGGGATGTCAGAAGTATACAATTATTTTACATAGCGCCTCTAGTCCCAAACTAAGCAAACATGGCAATGTACCATTCTGCTTGCTTATTGGCCGCAAAGCCCTTGGCCAACTCAGTATAAACGACCAATGACGGACGATTGTCACTCAACAAAGTAAATTAAAAGATATTTTTTAATTAAAAATATTAATCAATAATATTTTTAGTTAGATCAAATATATTTTAAAGTTGAGTTATACTTAGACCGAAATGTATTTATTAGGTGATCAATATTAAAAGGCAATCTTGATATAAAAATCATCAAATTAACAAAATTAAAGATCAATAACTAAAAAAGAGGATCAAATATAATTTTTGTTTACTAAATATTAAAAGAGTATGTTAAACATAAATATTATGTTACCTTAAATGAAGATCATTCATAATTTATCCGTAGATCAACTAATATAGACCCAATAATTAATATAAAGATAAAATATAATAAAACACATCATTTATTTTTAAAAGTGCACATACAAAAAAGATCAATTAGTTTTTAGAGGATCAAATAATATTGTCCCTTAAGTATTTACAATTAGTTGCATCTTGGTAGCTGTAAATAGAACAGACACTCGTCACGTTTAAGGGCCTTGCTAATGCCAGTATTTTAAAATAAGCATAGTTCAGTACTTTTGTTTGACATGTCTTTCATGGACGTATTCAAAAAGTGACGTCTCCAATTTCCAGAAGGGGGATGCGACCTCCTCCGAGACAGCGTCCACGTGACATCCGCGGCCGCACGCCCCAACAACGAGCTGTGGTGCTACCGATGCCTCGCGGAGGTGCCTGAAGACAAGTGCGCCGACCTCAGGCAGAACAACTCCGCGCTAATACACAAGTGCAGCAATGACAGGCGGATGTGCATGGTAAGAGGCGAGGGTATTTAAGCTAGCATCAGGCCTTTTAAATTTAGACGAAATCTTTCATTTGATTCGTAAATTGGAAAAGGTGCGGTGATAATGATTATGTACATTGTTGTCATAAACACATCGATCCTCTGCATAGCAGCACCATATTTAAGCTAGTGTTTCCGAACATAGCCATAGAACGTCCACTGCTGAACATAGGCCTCCCCCAATGCTTTCCATGTTTCCCGGTTGGTAGCGGCCTGCGACCAGCGCTTACTGTTTCCGAACTAGTACTGTCAGAAAACATTGTAGACACAATCTGAGTCTGACATCACATGCCACCAGTTTACTGGATTTTAGGTAGCTCTATTACTTAGTAGATTTTGGACTAAATAAAAAAAAACTTTCTTTCTTTCTCTACAACTCTACATTGTTTACCTAAGTTAATTTACCCATCAACGGCCTACTAACACTGATCCCAATACAAGTTATTATTTTGAAAGCTTACGCATACTTTGTCGCAGGTAAAACGGTTCTCCTACACAACATCAACCGAAAACTCTACCACCGGCTTGAAGATGTGGGCGCTCGAACGCAACTGCACGAAGCACTGTGAACCTGGCTGCATCATCATAGGGGAGAGGACCAAACTGCATGCATGCACCTCATGCTGCACCACATCTCTTTGCAACTACGACTCGGGCGCCCCCTGGCGGCCTGTCACCGCCCTAACCTCTTTAGTCACCATTGTCCTCGCCGTCATTTTATGATCGCCCTTTTAAACTAGAAAAACGAATTGAGGTTGGAATCAAGACTGTTCAGGTAAAAGAGATCGCGTGGAATCTTGCGGAGTGATGTCATCATAGCGAATCTTTGTCCATTGACTTTATAGAGATGACTCATATTTGATTTTCGACGTGGGAAGAGTTAAGCGTCAGTCTCAATAAAACCATAATCAATAGCGCTGGTGTGGTCGTTGCCATTTTTATAACTTTTTTGTCTTTCTAGCACCAGATAAAACTATACTTACTAGGGTGGTCCTTATTCCTACGAAAAAATTTTTTTTTCTTATATTTTGCGGGGCACCACGTAATTTGAATATATACCATATGAAAGTCTTTCATTATTATTTTTTTAATTTTTAAAAGACTTTTAGGGGTCGCTACCAAGGTTTGAATTTTAAGTAAAAACACAAAATCTGTATTTGTTAGATTCATTTATTTTTAGTCAAAGCCAAATAAAAATATTACAAAATTATTGTTGTTGCTATAAACTAAGATAATATGTACAATGTACATATTTGAATCAATTATTTTTAAGATATAAGAGTATCTTTGTTAGTATCTCGACGCGTCGGTACCATGGTCGGTACAGAAGAGGGGTTGAGGGGAGAAGGGGACAAGAAGCGACTGTCTATTCTATCTATGCGATGTTCATTTGCACCTAAAATGTGATATAAACACATAAATAAAACATTTATGAAACCATGATTTAAGATCTTCAAAGCTTTTTGTAAATATTTTGACAGCTGGTAGCGACCTCTAAATCTTAACCAAAAAAAAAAACAAAAAAGCTAATTTCATATTTAGAGGTATATAATCGAATGAGAAAGTGCCCCGGGGAAAATTCAAAAGTCGAAAAATAAGGACCACCCTAATACTTACTCGTAGTTATTTTAGTTCATATTTGCAGTCTGATAGTGAGACTGGTAACCAAATATCAATCTTCATAATCAAATTTTAATAATTGGACGTAATTTAAATACTTCTAGTTAGTACTTAGATAGATTTTTCTAGGAAAAGCTTAATTACGTGGACAGTTTTGCGGTAAAGTTAACCCTGACATTGAAAACATTCCATAATATACAGTAAATTCATACTTATTTAATATCACAGGCATGAAAACAAATAATTACTTTTCCGATGTCCCCATTAAGGGTCATAACCTGTCGTCAGGGCCAAGTGTCTATTAGACAGCTATGGCTAAGTATACGTAGCCGCTACACAGTCGTTTCGCTAGTTAGTTTTCCACAGGTATGTCGTGTAGGTATGTGGTGTTCACATCCATTGTATGTGGTATTAACAACTAGGCCACGTGACACCTAATACGTAACTACGAACCGTAGAAACAGTCTAACGAATTGAGAAAGTTTAACACCCGAGTTTGACCTTTGACCGCTGTTAACGTGACCTTCAGGAAGTAACTTATAGCCGCCTAGACATTTCGTTAATAATAATAAGGTTTATTTATTTCTCACACAAAAATACAGGATACAATATACAATACATTAAAGAAAACTCATTAATGATTATCGTTACGTTACACAAGTATCCAATTTTTAATAATTCTTGGACTTAATTAAAATTAATTGTTAACCAAAAACTAAAATAAAAATTTATATCTATATCTGTGACTTCACCTTACCATTACCATTTATTTAGATTAAAAGTTAGTCAACTACTCAATTAAGTTCTATTTCTCATAGTAACAGAAGTTAGGTAGGTACTAGGCTACCTTCTCGTACGAGTACCTACTTAGTTCTCGTTTTTGTAGGTACTTGATGCATTAAGTATGCATTAGAAAACGATCGTGAACGAGTGTCATGAAAATATTCTCAAATCGGAATTTACCTTCTTGATACCATTGCATTCGTATGTGATTTTATTATATCTGCCTTAGATATTTTAACTTCATCTCATCCATGGATTTAAAAAATGGATTCCGCGCAGTAGCGCGTGTAAGTAATTAGCTATTAAAATCCGTGGTCCTAGACTCGTTTAAAAATTTTAAAATTATAACTCGTAAAACAAATACTGACATATTTATTAATAACTAACTAGGTTACTTTCAAACATAACACTTGAAGATAATGTTTCTTTATGTTACATAAATGTTCAATAATTCGAATGTTACAAAAAATATGTATTATTTAAGTACATTTTATCAAATTAAAATTATCATTATTTCTTCCCTTATTAGGTCATTTTGAGCATATAGGTAAGTAGGTATTTAAGTTATATTAATTAATACGTAGATAGGAAAATACAAGGTAGTGTGTACGTAGGTCATGTCCTACAATAATTTCGACATTATTCAGTAAGGTTATACAGGGTGTTTGGCGCATCGTGTGCCAAAATGATTTGGCGGATAGAATGGGTCATTTCCTATATTTTCAGCCCCCATAACACGTTCCATGCCAGGCGGCTATTTTTATATTATTTTTTATTAATTTCAGCAAAATACCCAAATCGCATTATTTAATTTCAATTTAAAAAAATACTTCTAGGCATAGCCTCAAAGTAAATATTTTGTGAAGTTTTTACCTGCTTTGAACTTATTGTAAAGTAAAAAAAAAGGTTCAAAATTCAAAATTTGAATATCAGTCCGAGTAGTCAATGCACTAATTTAAGGAATTTGTGAAGTTGTTGTTATTATTTAAACAAGATTAGTATACCGTTTGAATGGGGATAGACTAGAGAAATTTTGATAAAATCCGAAGATCGCTATCTCTTTTAATTTTTTTATTATAGCCATGTAAACTTAATTGTTCAGTCCATTTTTAACTTTTCGGAAAACTTCAAAGCTGAATTTAAAAAAAACTAGATGATATTTGCCAGTAAATTTAGATTTGATGCAACCCTACATCATTGCGCGTCAAAACAAAATATTTACTTTGAGGCTATACCTAGTAGTTTTTTTAAAATCGAAATTTAATGATGCGATTTGGGTATTTTGGTGAAATTACTAAAATAATTCATATAAAAGTAGCCGACTGGCATGGAACGTGTTATGGGGGCTGAAAATATAGGAAATGACCCATTCTATCCGCCAAATAATTTTGGCACACGATGCGCCAAACACCCTGTATATATAGTTAATTTTAATTTATAAATTATAATAAAACATTATTAATAATTTTCTGTTAAGTTTAGCTGAGCAATAAAATTGACGCTAATTTATGTAATTTATTGTATTTTATTTGCATCACAAGATACAGGGAACAATTAATTAATCTAATAGGTGTTTGAAACCTAAACACGGTCATTTAAGTATTTGTTTAAAAAAAATCATTTTAAGATTATCTTTTCAGCATATTAACTTGGTGGATAACAAGATTAAATTAGAATCGAGTTTAATTTATTAATTATAAGGATTCGGTTTCGTTATTTAATTCTAACCAATGTAATTTAGTTGGCAAAAGACTCAATTTGGTGCCAATTAGACATTTAAATAGTACCTACTTATGCAAATCACTCCGGCTTTATGTAGAAATGATTAAATAAATTATGTATTATGAATCAGTTTACGCGTATTTATTTCACCTTCAAACTCCATCTACTTACCTCTCTACTAAGTTCCGATAGGCATATGTAAATTCTCTATGAATTATCATGGTAAGTTTAAGCGAAGGTACACATAATTATGACGCGATGCATTATGTAAATGTGTAATAACCCTAAAAAAGGAATGAGGATCAGTACTGTTGTAGAAAATTCAATAAAACTAGTATCTACGTTAATCTTTAAGACATAAGAAAGATATATATCTTTTTGAATTATCCAAATCGGANTTTCTCTAAAACTGATAATTTGGCTAGAAAAAAATATTTTCTATCCACGCAGTACGCCGGCAGCGTTCGGATCGGATATAATGACGTCATCGTCCCCGCGCCGGGCGGTCAGTGAACTTTTTTAGTAATTTGGCCATAACTTCGTCAATTTTTGTCGTAGAACAAAAATTTTTGCACTGTGTATTAAGGATTTCTTAGCCCTATAAATCTGCATTCACAGCTAAAAATCGAAATGATCCTCATTGTGTTAGTTTTTTTAATTATCACAGAGATAAATTATTACTTACTAGTTACAATAATTGTGCTCATATTTAGGTACCTACTTACATAGGCATCTTCAAAACGTGATCTTGTATCCAAGATAATAACTACATACCTACTTATCATTTATTTTTATAAATAGGTAGGTAAGTAGTTAAGGTGTTTTAGTTATCTGGCATGCAAAATCGGCTGAACAGATTAAGATGGAATTTAGCACACGCCCTGGATAATGTATTTATATCTGTGATGCGTTTATTACATTTATTCTTGTCTTACTGCTGGAACGCTAACCTGGGAGCTGAGCAAGCAAGAAATAAAATAAGTAAAAACTAGGACTCGTCAACTAAACATTAACTGAAGTCGTAAATTTTATGAGACAGCCGTTTAGACTTACTTATTGATTACAACTTTACCAATCGCTTAGTTAAAAGGGATTTAGACGTAGACTAGCATTTACTTTTTTCTTGGTATGTCGATAAGACATGTTACTCGTATTTTGTAGGTGTTAACTAGGTACCTAGTAGATTTTGTACAGTAGTCACCGGAATTCCTACCACCTACAAAATAATACGAGTTTCGTGAAAAATTATTTCGGCACAGAATACCACTTTACTCGATAGGGTAGGTTACGTGAACTTCGCGATTGCGAAACTGAAAATTTTCAAGAGTTTTACAGAAGCTATTTTTAATGTGTAGATTACCTACCTACTAACTTTTTGACTAAAAAGATGTTCCTACCTAACCATTGTCTGTAGGTACTAATTTTATTATTTTATCAGGAATTGAAATTGATGAAATGACTAAAACAACAAAGTTCTCATTTTAAATTTATATTCAATACAAGTGTTAAAAATGAGAGTGACATTACAAAAATGGCAATCAGCTTATAGCAGACTCCTAATAGCTAGCCACAAAGATATCTAGAACGTCAAATATCTATCAATTATACAAGTGTAATGTATATTAATTTATTATGAATAAACAATGCACAGAAATAAATGCAATTCCTAGTTGCGACCTAAACATTGCATAAAATTTATTTAACATAATTGGAATGACCCATAGTTAAACTTTAAATGTATCTCTTTATGACTGGGAAGGTATTACTTAGGAGGACATTGTGTTAAACTTAAAATATTGTATTACGCGTTCATATTACAGAATTAACTTAGGATAGCTGTCCACAGTCAGCGATGACAACTTTCTTCGAAGGCTTGCCGGACTGGGAGCCGAGGGCTTCGACTTGTTTGACAACGTCCATGCCCTCGACGACGTTTCCGAAGACGACGTGCCTGCCGTCCAGCCAGGATGTCTTGACGGTGGTGACAAAGAACTGGGAGCCGTTGGTGTTGGGCCCGGCGTTGGCCATAGACAGTACGCCGGGGCCGGTGTGCTTCAGCACGAAGTTCTCGTCGGCGAACTTCTCGCCGTAGATGGACTTGCCGCCGGTGCCGTTGTGGTTCGTGAAGTCGCCGCCCTGCAGCATGAAGTTGGGAATGACGCGGTGGAAGGTGGAGCCCTTGTAACCGAAACCCTTCTCGCCGGTGCACAAGGCCCGGAAGTTTTCACAGGTCTTGGGGGTCACATCTGTTCTCAGCTGTAACAAGAAACAGGATACGTTTTAAATAAAAAAACTTGAAAAACATACGCGCGTTGCTTCTCGGTTTTTTCACACTTGACAAGAACATATGACTCGCAAACGCAATGACTAAACGGCCACGCTTCGGCTAAAAAGGTGTGGTTGCATTCGCGAAAAACATAAGTATCTATGATTGTAAACACTTGCGACAATATAAATCAACAGCGGTAGATTCCATTATCTTAGTTACTATCCTTCTCCGATAGAATGACCTTCAAATGGCTAGTTGTAATCTCTGTTACCTACCGACAATTAATAACGAATGGGCAATCACATGCTATCCCGCACACCACCTACGAGACTACTCATGTAATAAATCTAAGGAAAGTATTACTGATAAGATAATTACGAGATTATAGCTATATCACATCTTAAAACTGTATAGTCATTGAACAGGCAGAGGAAGGACATGATGAAAGCTTCGAGAATAGCGTGGTCAAATCACGCCGGCCGGAACCACAATTGATTTGATTTATTATTCCTGTAGATCACAAGGACTGACCTCAATGACAATTCTTCCCATTGATGACCCGTCGGCAGCAACATCCATAAAGACTCGTGGCAAAGCCATCTTGCTTATTTTTGTAATTCCACTAAATTATTCGGTTCGCGTTACCACAATGACGATGCGTCTCTCGTCAATGTCGGGCGGAAATGGCTTTGTGGGATGCCAGCGCAAGTAAAATAAATGCGCACGAAATGTTACACTTGTGTAACTTACTTTTGAATTTGTACTTCCTGTATTAATTTTTTTAATAAAGTTATACAAATAAAAATACTTTTATTGCGATGGAAACAATATTTAAATTCACAACTTTATTTCAGTGTTCACGAGGAAATAACACTTACTTCTTTTGTGTAGAAAGCATGAACTATGAATCTAGACTTCTAGAGAAAATTTTAGTAGCAATCAGAATTATAATATATTATAATGGAAATAAGCCTGACAATCGTTCCAATTTAGTAACTAGCAATAGTTCTCTTATAGTCTTATAATTTAATATTCAAAGCTTCAAATTAGTTAGCACATTAAATAGGTAGATGATTGCACACAAAATTGATAAAATATTTTTGAGTACAAGAATTTAATTTAATCGTATAATGTTTGAGCGTTACAGAGAGAGAACACAATAAATACATTTGGTATTTTTTAATTAAATTGAACAAAATACAGCAACACCTAAAGATGAGCATAGATAAAAGAACATGAAATACGGACGTCATTTCCCATGAAACACAAAAAGTAACAAAAAGTTTTCATTCTTGGAAAATAAAACCTTTTTCATTGATTTTATTCTCCGCGTAATTTGTAGTCTTTAATAACTTTCTAAGTTAAAACCATTTGGCCATAATGTTATCTTAGTGAATTATCAAGAAAAATACTAAATAGAAATTTAGGAGTAAGGATAGGACCAGTTAGGCTACTTCAATAAAATGGATAAGTTAAGAGCGCGCGGGTTCACTGGCTGATTAATGCATTTTTATTAATTAGCTAGCGGCCGCCCGTGACTTCGTACGCTTGGATCCCGTTTTACCCCCTTAGGGGTGGAGTAGGTATGGATTTTTTGACGGAAGGACAGTAAGCGACCACATAGAAGGACGGCTTTACCCATACCGGTAAACTTTTTTTTAATACCGATTGTGTGCCTCACCAACAGTTGTCAGTGTCAGTGTCAAACCATTGAAACGTTCAAATAGTAGTCTAGTTTTATCGTGTCTTCGGTGAATATTTTTTACTATTTTTAATATTTTTCTACATTCTACGATTATAATTCAGTTTTACTAACGTGGATTAACAAACTATTAATTTACAAGTATCAAAGTGTTCTACAATATTTATCTCAACACTTGAATCTAAACTCAAATTTTAGGAGATAAATCTTATCTTTTTTAGTCTCAATGTTTACATTTGAACGATTAAATCTAGAAGAGTATTTCTTTTTTAGGTTTACTTGAGACAAAATGAGTCTAGAATCTATTAGATATAGACGTGGAAATCTTGAAATCCTAGACCAGTTGTTACTGCCTTTACAAACCAGATACGTAAAAGTACAGGGTGTTGAAGATGGTTGGAAAGTTATTAATAAAATGCAGGTAAGATAGGTTAGTTTGGCGAAATTCTAAAATCTATCAGATAAATAGATTATATTTGTACAAATTACAGTAAATATGGATAACATAATTATTTATAAATATCTATTGGATTTCATTGTTAATATTTCAAATCATGGTAGGTCCGAGGAGCTCCCGCGATAGCCATAGTCGGGTGCTTATCTCTAGCCGTAGAGTTGCTCAAGGAGGAGATAGATGATAAGAAAGTCATGCGGCAAGAGGTCAGTAGTTCAAGTTAATCTAACTTCTTTATTAGCTGAGATTTAGAATTACTTGGCAACCTTGTATGCGATTAATAAAGTTCAAAATTGCTACTCAATTTATTCAAAAAACTTACATGTTATAGTATTCTGGCATTATAGGTTATGATAGCTCCTAAAATATATCTTGTAATTGCAGATTGAAGGCAAGCTCAATTATCTGGTATCGGCAAGGCCAACAGCTGTGAACATAAAATTGGCAGCCGACGAACTGATAAATTTAGCAAATACTCTAAGTGCTGATGAAAATGTCTCACCTAGTGAGTTCAAAGACAGGTGTGTGCTTCTGTCCTTGGTTACATCATATTGACTATTGAAATGTTGGCTTGGTTGTAACAAATTCCAATTGATTTATTATTCTATGTTTCAAAGCAGCCATTCAAATTAAAATTTCATCATTTAATTTATTAATCTGCTCTTTGTGACTATTAAATGAATAGTTTAGGTATGAAAATAACTTTTTTAAATACACTTCTAACAATGTTTTATGCAGAATAAAGTAGAAATTAAAATATTATTTTAGTTAATTTAATTTTAAATAAAATTTTTAAAATATGTATTTATAATATTTCAGATTTATTACTAGTATAGAAAGTATGCTCACCAAAGATATAGAAGACAATAAAGCTATTGGAAAGTTCGGGTCAGAAGCGATACTGCACAGGTTAGAAGGAGACGGCCAAGTTCGTATACTCACACATTGCAACACCGGTAGCCTGGCCACGGCTGGCTACGGAACTGCCCTTGGGGTGATACGGTCATTGTTCGAATCTAAGAGGCTTGGTAAGGCATCTTTAGACATTTTGAAACTGCCCTAAAAGTACATAGTGCATATTTATAAAATTTCCTCTAGTGTCGAGATTCTGATTCAATCTATAATAATATAATATAATAATATAAGCCTTTATTACTGGATTACAAGGTATTTTTACAACATTAACATTTCATTTTACAATTTAGTTGCACTCATCTCCAGTTTGTCCTTGGACATAGGCCTCCTCCAATGATCTCCATGCTTCTCTGTTTCTAGCCATTTGTGGCCATAATGGCCCTGCTAATTCGCGGATATCGTCCTCCCATCTTTTCCCTTGTCTGCCTCTGCTTCTTTTTCCTTCACGGGGATACCATTCCGTTATGGCTCTTGTACATTTCTCTTTCTTTTCCTTCATTAGTGTCCCGTCCACTTCCATTTCAACTTTCTAATTGTCGCAACAACACTTCTGAATTTGGTTTTTGATTTTATTGTGTTTAGGTTTATCTTGTGTTTAAGTTTCACTCCTAATACACTTCTCTCCATACTACACTCGCGAGAAAAACTATGGAATCACTTACATGAAGTTGTTTCCACGCGAATTTGTGTACTAACGAATTTGTTAGTAACAAAAAAAGTGGCACCATTTTAAAGATTAAACTTTTATCTTTAAATTGATACCAAATTCATTTAAATCACACCAGTATTTAAAAAGATATTCCGGCTGATGTGAAGAAGTAACGAAAAAGACATGTATGAACTGTTTGATACGTCGCGAGTTGCGGCCTATTTAACCCCTATAAAAGCACGCGTTTTTAGATTTTTGCTTTCACNCGCGAGTGTATTTTGGCATACTTTTAACTTTTTAAGATTCAATCTATACTAATATTATAAATGCGAAAGTAACTCTGTCTATCTGTCTTGCTTTCACGCCTAAACTACTGAAGCGATTTTAATTAAATTTGGCATAGAGATAGACAAATAAAATTCCACGCGGTCGAAGCCGCAGGCGGAAAGCTATTACTTTATATGAGGAAAATCTATGCCAATTATCTGCTATATGTACTTACTTGATTATTATTGTTTTAGAACATGTATACTGCACGGAAACTCGACCGTACAATCAAGGCGCGAGGTTAACTGCTTATGAGTTAGTCCATGAGAAGATACCTGCCACTCTAATCGTAGACAGTATGGTGTCTGCTTTGATGCACTCGAGGAATATTACTGCAGTAGTCGTGGGGGCTGACCGGGTATGTATTATGTACTTTAAAAATGTAAAAGACAAATTACCTCTTCTGTAATTTGTCATTATTTTAATTTATTATGCTATCATACTAAAAAAGTTCAACTTTATTACGTCATATTGCCAAAGAACAGCAATATATGACGTCATCCTCGAGAAAACTAAAACTAATAATAATGCAAACTTTAAAAATTTAGATTCACTAATGCATAGTGATACTCACACATTTCAATGAAAAATATAAATATAAAGTGTCTTTCGATAATAACGATTTTGAGTGACGGATTTTTTAAACAATAAATGTTTTTACTTTTATTGTTTAAAAAATCTTTTTTATTTATCAACAATCACTAGGAAATAACAAAGACTGGGCCTTTCTTTTCTAGTGACTTTCAATAATTAACATCATAATAACATGGTAAGTGTTATCTAATACATAATCAAGTTTTCCTTCTATTCCCTTTACCAATCTATTATGTTCATTAAATAAACTGATTGCACATGCACATGTTTTTGTTTTCAGGCACAAGCATGACTGCTGAAAGGACTGTGTAATGGTCCGTAGAACATAGTTTAGACTTATTATAAACATTTACTACTAATGTCGTGTGACACAAGCATGAATATATTCTAGACTACCATTAATTCATATTAGATGAGATAAAGTTTGAGTATCTTTATAGAACTTTCTGTTTTTAATTTTCCTTTATTTTCTATAAATATAATAAATAATACCTCATACTATTTTACATGTTTTTCATTTTTAAACCATTTAATGTTGTTTAGATAATGTAATAATAAAAAAGCTATGATTAATAAATTAATACAACATGCCACCTGTAACAAATGAGACGACTTTAATTTTGGAATGCTTTATGTTGTCTTTGTTATTTCTCTTCAATCCGTGTGTATTAAATGTTATAGACCGAGCTTAAATAACTGGTTTCTTTGTGTTTATGAAATACCTTTTAACGACTTGGAAACCAGTAATTTTGCTGCTTCTATGTGAAGTCTGCTACGAAATCATATCTGAATTATCTTTCTACTGAGTAAAGAGTCAAAGTTTAACTCTATTGGTGCTGTTGTAACAATCCACTACTAAATTACGCCTAACATCTTTCTCAAAATTTCTTCCAAACATAATGGACAACACGCATAAGTTGTAATATTAAGTTAAATTATGACTTAATTTAAAGTTTAGATCACACACATTACACTAGTTTTTATTTCACCTCAATCCATCCAGTATTACCGGAGATAGAGCCTCGAGAAGTTTACGGACTTTTTAAAATTTTCAAAAATTTCCAATAT